TATTTGGAAGGAAAATAAAGAGCTAGTCACTCTTGGTTGCAATTTGCATGATTTTTTAACCGATTAAAAGAGAAAATTGATTAAAAGAAATAAAGCATTATGCTTTCTTTTGGATTAAAAAAATTGGATAGATAACGTTTTCCATGATTGTGATGATCATGATAATAATGAAGTTTCTGTCTACTCCAGTTACAAAGACAGTATCTTATGTTTTGCTGTTGAAACTTTAGAATTTCATTTTTTGCACATAGTGCTTTGATTTTTTAGAACTCAATTTGAATACATGGTGTGAAGTGAGGGTAAAGACTTGTTTTTCCTCATTAGCTGGGTCTGGTTGTTCTTACACCAGTTGTTGGAGACACCTGGTCCTCTGTTGAATGAATGGTTTTGTTGAAAAATCAGGCGATTGGATATATGCCCATTTCTAGACTTGCTTAGTTTCATTAATCCATCTTTACACCAGTACCTTATTATCTTGATTACTCTAGTTTTTTTTAAAAATGTATAAAATATATGTGACTTAGACATTTAAAAAAATAGCATTTTTACCATTTTTCAGTATACAGCAGCATTATATCACACTGTTGGGCAACCGCCACCACCATCTAACTCCAAAACTTCTCATCTTCTCAAACTGAAATCTTTATCCATTAAGCAGTAATTTCCCATTCCTTCATTTTCCAGCCCCTGGCAACTATGATTCTATTTTCTCCCTGTGAATGTGACTATTCTCAGTACTTCATGCAAGTATAAAAATCATACAGAGTTTGTCTCTTGGTGAGTGGCTTATTTCACTTAGCGTAATTTGTTCTCAAGGTTCCCCCAATGCAGTGTACATCCATTTCCTTTCTTTGTAAAGCTGAATAATTCCGCTGTATGCATAAGCTGCAGTCTGTTGATCCATTTATGGCACTTACCTTGTTGCACCCTTTCACTGTTATGAATATTGCTTCCTTCAACACAGATCATACAGTATCTAAATCCCTGCTTTCTTTGTTTTCTGTTTTGTTTTACTTGATTTGGTTTTTGTTTGGTTGGGTGCTTTGTGGGGAAGTAGGTATATATCCAGAGGTGGAGGGTTGTTGGATCCTGCGGTAGTTCTGTATCTTACCTTTTGGAGGACAGTCATCTGTTTTTCATGGTAGCTACATCACTTTATCCCCACAAGTTTTTCAACATCTTCATTAACACTTTATGTGTGTGTGGAGGGGGAGATATTTGTTTTTAAAGACATTATTTTAGATTATATGTATATGCCTATGCCTGTGGGTAGGTATATGCACACAAGTGCAGGTGCCTATGAAAGCCAGAAGAAGTTATCAGATCCCCTGAGCTGTCTGATGTAGACGCTGGGAACCGCACTCAGGTCCTCTGGAAGAGGTCTCTTTAACAGCTGAGCCATCTCTTCAGCTCCCCTCCCCGCCTTTTGAGATATAGTCTGTAGCCCAGACTGACTTGAAACTCACTATGTAGTCCAGGCTAGGCTTGAACTTGTAGCACTCTTCCTCTCTCAGTCTTTCAAACTCTAGAACTACAGATATGAACCACGAAGCATGCTTTTTTTTTTAAACCACTCTAATGGGTAGAAAATGGTGTTCTGGTTTTGATTTGCATTTCCCTAATGATTTTGATGTTGAATAACTGTTCATCTGTCTGTTGGCTATTTGTATGTCTTCTTTGGAGAAATGTGTAATCAAGTCCTTTGTCTCTCCCCTACACACACACACTTTTT